CTTGGCGCCCAGCTGGGACAGGGACCAGGTGACATTAGACACATAAGGTTTTTTTTTTCTGCCTTTCAGTCACAAACCAGAAATTGCCTTTTCTGTTGCAATAATATTGCAAAGATTGCATAAGAGTTTTATGGGAAAAGTGGTTGACTATTTCTGACTCAAGATGTGTCCCACTGACCTACAGAAAGCTGGAGTTGTGGATAAGGCTTCTGCTAGCGCTCTGGAGTAGTGATTAAGTTAAGATAATGGTTTGAGGCTATAGAAACTAAGTTATCACCCCATTGTGCGACTCTTCTTTTCCATATTGCTAATGGGCTTAGAGGTGCTTTATTCTCAGTGTAGCCCTGAGTTAACACTCCCAGGGGAGGGCAGGATGAGAAGGAAACTAATAACGTGTAGAGATCTAAGAGCTCTGACAGCATCAAAGGTTCAGGAGAGAGTGAGGGGACTGGATGGGAGGCAGAATCACAAAGAACAATCAGACAAACAGGCCACCTTTGAGAAAAGATTTGAAGGTAAGAGGAGAGGCATTATGAGACACTTAAGTCTCAAAGTTTAGCTCCTGAAAAGATGGCTCTCTAAAGAGTTTCCTCTCAGTATGCCTCGTGTTTTCTCTCTTCCTTTAAGGCGTTTAACCAACAAACTAGAGTGAATTGATTCAATTAAATGCTATCTTATGTTTACAATTTATCATGAAACAATGGACTGTAATCTTGATTTTTTTTTCTTTTTCTTCATCACTGAAAATAGATTATAAATTTGCATATTTTACGAAAAATACCTAAGTTCTCATGCACTGCCAGGAAGTCCCAGGTCCATTCATCGTTCCATCCAGTTTGTGTCACTTATCTGGGTTATTCTGAAGAGAGCAGTCTGAGCAAACATCTGCAGCCTCTTTCCTCCTCCCAGCACTCCCAGTATCAAGACGTAAATCTTCACATTATTGCACTTTAAAAATAACATTAACCATATAATTGCTTGAGGTTTAATATTAACAGGCTTTCACTCTGTAATGTGTGAAAGTCACTCTAACATGTGCTGCACTGACACTTCGTCTTGTCTTGGCAAGGTTTAGTTTTTGTGTGACCTATCTGGCTGAAGGCCAGCAGCTCTGCTATCCTTTGAAATGGGATCATCCTGGACTAAAAGCAGCTGTTTGACTGCAACGGATCACACCAGGCCMCATTATTAATTATTTGCACTTAAATACCAAATTTAGGAATGCAGCCGTTTCACTCTTAGTTTGTACTCTTATCATTGACATATAGCTGTTTAAATAGATTATTCTCCTTCCAAGAGGATAATGTAGGCTGTTGAGGCAAAAAAGGAGAACAATGTTYGAGTTAATAAAGACAATGGGGCAGTCGGCCATATGTGATCCCTGCAGGTGGGCTGAGTGCCACCAGTCTGCTCAGTGGGTTTACCCACAGTGATTTCCTGAACGCCCTCACCCCTGGAGCTAAACAGAGGTGCTTCACTTGCAATCAACTCATCTTCATCTATTTATTTTATTTTATTAMTTTCCATCCATCTTTGGTTGAATCTCATGTCCTAATGTTGACCATGTTAGTCCTTCAATCAAAATGTGATCTTGATTTGTTTACTTTTTAGCCCTTCTGGATTTGTATTATTTAGTTCAATGTTTTGTATCAATGTAATCCTTAAATATGCACAAAGTATTGCAAAGTCGGTTTATTTTAGTATTTTTTACTGAGACGATTCTTATATTTGTAGGTGGTTTTTTGCAACGTTTTATCAGAAGTGTGCCGTTGATGAATCTTACTTGTAGGAATGAAATAGATATTTTTGKTTGTAGATTCTCAGAACTTTTACAAGACCAAAACCCCAGTTGACTTCTTTTTGTAGCATAAAGTCTATATTTGAAATAAACAGCTCAACTACTTCGACATAATAAGAAAAATCTGAACACGGGTTGGTTGGGTTAGTAGGACCAACCCTGGTAAAATATTGATTCATCAATACATTGCAATTTTTTTTCCAATGCAGTATTGATACAGAAAATCATCTGATTCAGTTAGATCCCCTGGCCCGTTCATCATGTTTTTATGCTTGAACTCCATATTTAGAACAAGTATTATTGTGCTACTGCTTAACTTTCATATATTTTATATCTCAAAAATGTTAATGTATACCATTTCTGATTATATGGGCAAGAAAAGAAAATACCCACAGGGACTCTAATGAATTATCTCTGTACTTCTTATAACAAAATTGATATCAAAGCATAATAGCAGTATTGAATTAAAAAATCAACTTGAATTGTGAGCTTGTTAACAATACCCAGCCCTAGAAAGTGCCTCCCTGACATTAAGCATACAGAACTTAGGGTTAAATAGGAGGGACACTGAGTGACATAGAACACCCTTGGCTTCATTTAAGCTTTTTTTCTGCAGGATAATTAGAATTTTCTTTGTAAAGTAGATATGTAAAGTAGAAGGGGCCCATAATAAGCCTATTATTCTTGTACTCTGTATTACACAAACCACTTATCACCCTGTTGAGCAGAAGTTCTGCTGAGGTTTCCCTCAGTTCGAGTGCTCAGATGTAGATGATGGCGATGTATATGCACTCCATAACGGTGCTCCATCTAATCCCTTTTCTCTCTGTGGCTGATTACATTAAACATGAGAAGACCTTGAACAGGGAGAGTTAAAGGTTTTGGTCAACAACACTTCTATAGAAGTGCTTCACTGTCCTAAAGTGTCGGGCTTCTATTCATGAAAGCCATTAGCACAGGCTCAACTTCAAAGATAAATACCAGCAGAGCACGGCTGTCGCATTGTGTGTTTAGAGAAGAGGGACTTTAATGAGAGTTTATGGATGACACACCTGCCTAGAAAACAGGTTGAGATAACAATTTTCTCCTCCCTCTTGAGGAGGCATCTGGCATTGTCACGGTGTTGTAACCCGAAATCCACCGAAGAGTGGGTAATGAGGCATAGGAGACGGGGTTTATGTTGTGTGTTGTCAAATGTGTTTGGGTGTTTTGGGGTAGGTGATTTCCTGAATTAGCCCGCGAGCACACCATCTGTAGTACTCCACCATAAATACCATTTTGTGTGTCTCATAAGGAGAGTTAAAATTAAATTGGAGCACATTTAACCTTTTTGTAGTAAAAACTGTTAAAATGTGATGGTCACAGTAACCATTTAGACTGTGGATCCTCACCAAGCCCAGTGCACTTCTTACCATTTTAGATCTTTATGAAATKATGGTTGGTTTGGTTATTTTCCATTTTTTCCATTTATTTTTCAAAATCAATCTTGTTCTGAATAATTATTGCAAGCATTGCAGAGGACCTTGCTGATTTGTTAGGGCTTAGAGTATTGAGCATTACCAACCTAAGATTTATTCAAACATTTTTTTTTTTCAAATTATGCCAAACTGATTGAGTTATAGCCACGTATATGTTTGCTAAAGTTGTTAGTTTTGGCAGCCATCTTAARCTGGAATAATTCCAAAATTCAATGGCTGTGTCCAAACTCAGGGGCTGCATTCTTYGAAGGCTGAAGTTGATGGTTGATTACGTCACATTATGCGCTGAAGACTGCCCAAATTCGAAGGGTCCTCCAATTTTGACTGGGAGATTTATTTTATTTTATTTTATTTTTGCTTGTAATGGCAGACAAAGCAAGAAAGAGGAGTTCAAAAATCCAGTGGTACAATTATTTTAAGTTTTAAACGATTGTGTTGTTAAATCAAATCAAATGAGCTTGTATGGCAGATCTCTTTGTTCTTCACATATTGCTTCTAAGCTAGTTTGTTCATTTATAATATATTGGGGTTGGGCAATATTGGCAAAAAAATTAATCACGATTACTTGTGGTATTTAGCCGATAACGATTAATTTGACGATTAATTTGACAATTAATCCCCAGGAGTCCCTGGACACTCTTATGTCTTAGTCACATGACCAATTTAGTAGGAAAGATTTGCTCTTCATAATTGCCTCAAAATTAAAGGCTATACATAAAATTTTAAATTGTGTTGACATAAATAAATTACAGAACTTTTTTTTAATGTTCGTCATATTTGAAGCGGAGATTAGCATCATGCAGACTCTGCCTGGTGGCATTAATCGTATTAATCATCAAGTGCCAAAAATAATCGATTAATGTTTTTCTGGCGATGAATTGCACACGACACAATTATGCCCAACCCTGTAATATATATTGCAAAATTTTATCTATTTTCATCTTTATTGCTTCTGTTTAGCACATCATGATTTCTACGTGATAATACATATGCCAGGGAAAGGGCGGGAATAAAGCTGAAGTCTAGAACGTCCGAATTCACAGCCACTTTCTTCTGGTCTTCATGGTCGACAAAGGACCCGGGCCGGCCCACGTAGACCGTGTAGACCAGGTCTTTCTAAGGATGCAGCATCATCTGATGATKATTTTCTGATAGTTTCATTAAAATCTGTGCCGTAGCTGGAGATATTTTCCTTACAGACTAACAAACACATTCACACACAGGCAATTACATGATCACCCATCTGTCTTGGCCCCAGGCCATGGCTAAAGGGGGTCCTAATGATTCATGATTGCACACTTTTTGACTATTATGAGTCCGGTCTGCATTCAGTGTGTAACGTGTCTTTTATTGTAGCGTTTGTTGAATGTGTTGCTAAGAAACACAAGTGATGTTAGTGTTGCAATCAGTGACTAAGCTTTTAACTTTGTTTTATTTTGCATATAATGATTGGTTTTTGTCCCTGTAATTAAATGAAATTGTCACCAATCAGTTTTGTTTTTTTCACAACTACAATTCTATGATTTGTTCTTAATAGCTGTAGCTACAATTTTATAGTTATTTGAACTAAAAGGTAACTTTTTAAAAATACATTTTGCAAAGTTAGTAACTTAAACAAACACAATTTACTAATTGTGATGCTCGTTAAATCAATTTCCTGGAAAGTGTTAAACATTGAATAAGAAAACGTAGTTGATCATTTGTCTGTTTATTCTGTGTTTCAGGTAATCTCTGCTTTATCGAGGATCTCCCACCACAGCATTGCACAAATCAAAGGCATCAGGTAATGCACAACTCGTTTTTACTTTTAGTAATTTCAGCTGCTCAGATGCTCCAAAATATCAGTGTCAGGAGAAGAAAAAAACTTTTAGATGAAAATATTCAAATTTTCTTAATACGGTTATAATAAAACGGATCATGCAGTTAACATCTGCTGCTCATTTAAAAGTCAATTTACATTTTAGGTAATTAGCKGCAGCTTTTAGCCAACATTATCTTGCAGGAGCAAAGTAATCCACAACTCATTTCCATACGTCACTCAATCAGTACTGCATACATGGAGTCAGCTGCTTTGTTGTGCGTCTGGAAGGTCGCTTGTCACTGATAATGGCGAGACTGAAAAAAAAAAAATACTTCACCTGATTTTTATTTATCTATTTATATATTCTTGTTATTGAGGCTAGAATGGCCTCCTGGTCCCTCTTCATTTGCTCAACCTGCTCGGAGCGTGGTGGCTCACAGGCGCCACGTAAAAAGCTATTTTATCTGCCTGAGTAATAAGTTGATGGTGTGCGCCCATTAGGAGCCATGCCAGGAAATGAGAAAAGAAAAAAAAAARGACAGGCAATGAGCAGGTCYCTTGGCATTAATAAGGACAACACAGCTGCCTGATGGTGCTGATCGTAATACTGGGAGGTGTCAAAGTCAGTACTTGTGTGTCAGGATACTCAGGACTTTGGTCAAAATATTTCACTCTATGTTAAACTTATGCAGTTTTATGCAAACTACAAAATATTTTCGTTTAACTCGAGTATTCATGTTAGCTTTCTGACTTGTGCTTTTATTAAGAAATAAATCACCCTTCACTTTTTTTAATGCCATTATGACAATAAAAACCGTTCTGATTTTCTGTTTGCCATCATGTTTCCTCTCTTGGTATGCTTGTTTGTCTTTGTGTCTATGGTGTATAATGATGTGATTGTGATGCTGCATTTCTGAGTGTTTTATGTGCTGCAGAACAGGAATCTGCTGTAAAACAGCAATTATGCTGAGTCAGGCTTGATTTTTAGTGATCTTTTCCTGTTAAATCAATAAATCAAATCAATCTCTCATCCACTATCATACTAACCACATTATTATCATGTCCGTCCTTGTTTGTTCTGCCACCTACTGGGCAGGCTGGTTAGCTCTTCTGCAAAATGTATCATTGTTCAAATTTAAGAAGCTACTATGTTAATGCATCAGTGTTTTTAGGTGTATTAGTGTACCTTTTGTGCTTGAACAAAAAGAAGGAAAAGACATGTTTTTCTCTGATTTTACAAAGTTATTTTCTTTAAAAAAAAGTGTTAGAAATGTTCGTAAATGAAGTGACAAAGACACTGCAACAAACTTTCTTCCCCAACATATTGCTTGCTCACTTGTGGATTTTTAGCTAATGAGATTGTTTTTTTTTTAATTCATTGTTAGAACATAAAGAATTCAATCTGTTGCCAGTAAAAGCTGTGCAACGTGTCCAAATATTAAARTTGCTGGGGAAGACTGGGTGCTCCATTTTCCTTCCACAGGCCAAAAACRTGCATGTTGGGTTAATTTAGCAAATCTAAATTGTCACCAGGTAAATGTGTCTCTGTTGGTTCTGGTTCTGTTGGTCCAGCCACTGCTGGAGGTAGTCACCAGCTCCCTGCAACCCTGAACAGGAACAAGCAAGTAAAGACAACTGATAGATGAAAATACAGAGAAAGCTCAGTTTATAAGGAGTTTAAAAGTAATAAAAAAATTATTTTTCGTTTTAGTCAAAGGGAAAACCGGTTCAACTTGAGCACTGCTGTGACTGTAATACCCAAAGGCAACGAATAAACATGAAAATCTGACTTTATTAAGTACAACCATGTTTGATTCTGGCCTGAACAACAAAACGTCGACTAAGCCTATTATATAGTACACTGAACTAAATCCTGAACGGAACATGCAACTTTACAATAAGCATAATACGATTATCATGGTTAAGATTATTGTACAATAAATAATCATACAAAGCGGTATTTAAATCAAGAACCAAAGAAACAAACTGCACCAACAGAGAGCAAGCACTTAACATTGAGTACACCTTTCTAAAACAGAACACTTTACAAAAATGYATGTTGCCACAGCTTCAATATTCACAGGATAATTTGCCCTGTTGCGGAATAAAGTGCTTTATATTTTAGTGTCCTACTGCTCCGTGTTTCCTGATCTTCAAAAATGTCAAAAAGTTGTTTCGCCTCTCTTCCTGCTTCTGCTGTAGACTTTAAAAGTAAGCAGGGAAGCAAATAATAACCCAAGAGACCCAAAACAGCAGGATGAAGCCTCAGAAGGATGCTGTTTAGCTGGCTAATTACACAACTTAGACGTTCACTGACCGACTAATAAGAGTTGAGACAAAATTAGCTGCAGCTTTGTCGTTGGATTTCAGAGCTTTGAAGTCTCTAACGCTTAATAAATAATTCAATAATAATAATTTTAGTTTGTCTTATACTTTAAGGTGTTTTGTACTTTAAGGAGTTAATGAATAAAAGGAAAAGAAACATTTAGTTTGATCTTCTGTTAGATCCTGAATGGATCACATTGTGCAGAATTGAAAAGAACCAGATGAGTTCAGATTCGATTTTTATTTTCTATTTATTGTGTTAAAGTTGAGACTAGTTTAAAAAAAATTGAACAAAGGATTTCAGATTATTCTGTCAGTTTTGATGGTAATTATAAAGCATTTGAAAGTCCAAGCAAAAAGTTGAGCTTTTCCAAAAACTGAGTTCCACTTTTAAACTTGAATTTTGTTCCCACGGGAAGGCGTAAAAATAAATAAAAAATACATCATTTAAATGTTTTCTCTATTTTTTCTGCTTTACTCGTGTTGGGTATCACCTAGAATTGTGATTAGATACGATTTTCAGCACAGCATTTCAATTTTATTTCGATTCATATCACTGTAATATTGCTCATTGCGACTGACTCAACAAAACCCGCAAAATATTATAAAATTATTTTATATATTTATAATTAGAAAAAACAAAACTTTTTTTAAGTACAAAGACGCCTTCAGAACGCCGCTGGCCATTTTGCTTACTCATTAATCTCTTTTGCAGTTTGCTGCTCTGAACAGGAATCATGCGACACTGTACTGCCCCCTAAGGGTTGGAGGGTGTATTGATATATATAAAAAAGAAAATCAATAAGATGTTGTTTTTGAAAAAATATTGATAGTCGAATTTTGTGCACATCCCTGTTCTTCATATGCCCTTCTGTTTTACAAGAGATATTTCCAACTGTGAAGAGTGCCTGACTTGGTTGGATTTATTTTTGATTTATATTTATTTCCTTTACAAAGTCTGCAATAAACAAGCCTCAGGGTCATCTGTGACTCTGTCAGTGTTCTTGTTGTTTTTTTTTTTAAGGCAGAAAGAGTCAAAAGGAGCAGAAAAGATTAGATGATTGATTTGTTTTCACAAATTAATTAAAGAAGCTTCAAGCCCCTGAAGATGCAGGTCAAACCGTGAGCCCCACCCAAAGCTTTGGAGGTTAAATCAGAAATCCTGGTTGCAGTCTGACCGCCCACACACACACACACAGTTTGTGGCTTCGTTTACACAAAATCTAGATTTCTCTTGCCTCTTATTCTACAATTATATTAAAATTTGAATGAGTCACCCAATTTAGTGTCCTAAAACTGTCCAGCTGATTTTATCCAGATGACTCTGATGTACAAAAAGTCACGTAAGAGTGTTTTGATTACTGGATTTTGTTTTAGCCCAAATTTT